ATACATAATTAATGATTGCCATATATAAGTAAAGAGAACGAAAATTATATTAGTATTATCCAAGATACATAATATAAGTAAGGTGCTGATGAATATACTCGTGATCATAATTTACAAATTTAGTATTATTTAGGATTGTTTCTTAATAAGATTTTTCATAAATTTTTCTTAATGACCATATATAAGTAAGGTGATCAATAATATATACTCATGGAAATAAGGCAAATAAGTAAGGAATCAAAAATAGTATTGGAATTTCTATTAGTATAGGTACTCTATTGATTTCAACCTATATATACACGAATTTCCATTAATAAATCTTTGTTACTTATTAATTTAAGTATGAAATTTATAAATAGGGAAGTACGATAAAAGATTAATATATGTAGCATGGTTCTAAAATTCTATTTAAGTTAAATGAAAATTATTATATTTCTTTTTTATTTTTAAATAGTATTTATATTTTTTCGTATTTATTTTTAATTTTTTATATTATCCTCATAATAGGAGTTCGTATTTTTGTTATCTGAAAACATATATTAACATATACTCCCTCCGTCCGGAAATATTCTTCCCATTTGACTTTTCACGGTCTCCAATATTGCACTTTGACCATTAATATATATATTTATACATAGATATATTTTATAAAAATTTGATATTTCAAAACTACGTTTCGTTAGGAATATATTGATATTAAATTTATATCATAATACAATATATTTTTTTCATAAATTGGAGTCAAAGTTTACAAACTTTGACCAAGAAAAGTCAAATGTTAAGAATATTTCCTGACAGAAGGAGTAATATTATTGATTATCTAAGACACATAATTAAGGATTTCCATATATAAGTAAACAGATCCAAGATAATATTAGTATTATCCTAACATACATCATATAAGTAAGGTGATGAGTAGTATACTCGTGATCATCATTTTCAAATTTAATATTATTTAGGATTGTTTCTTAATAATCTTTTTTGTTAAAAATAATATTCTAATTTCCATTAATATAGGTACTCTATTGATTTTAACTCTTATTATACACGAATTTCCACAATAAACCTTTACAACTTATTAATTTAAGTATGTAATTTTTAAATATGGAAGTAAGCTAAAGGATTAATATATGTAGCATGGTCCTAAAATTCTATTTAAATTATATTAGAAATATTATATTTATTTTTTAAATAGTATTTATATTTTTTCGTATTTTTTAAATTGTTTATATTATCTTTGTAATAGAAGTTCGTATTGTTGTTATCTGAAAATATATATTAACATATAATATTATTGATTATCCAAGACACATAATTAAGGATTTTCATATATAACTAAACGGATCCAAGATAATACTAGTATTATCCTAACATACATAATATAAGTAAGGTGATGAGTAATATACTCGTGATCATCATTTTCAAATTTAGTATTATTTAGGATTGTTTCTTAATAATCTTTTTTGTAAAAAATAATATTCTAATTTCCATTAATATAGGTACTCTATTGATTTTAACTCTTATTATATACGAATTTCCACAATAAACCTTTGCAACTTATTAATTTAAGTATGTAATTTTTAAATATGGAAGTAAGATGAAGGATTAATATATGTAGCATGGTCCTAAAATTCTATTTAAATTAAATGAAAAATATTATATTTATTTTCTAAATAGTATTTATATTTTTTCATATTTATTTTTAATTATTTTATATTATCATCATAATAAGAGTTCGTATTGTTGTAATCTGAAGGAATGAATTTCATTGAAGGCCAGTGATTATCGCGTAGAAAATCTGCGGTCAATTGTTTTCAACGGGAGATCCGCCGGTGCATCGTATATAATTTATTTCCGTTGGTTTACTCGAATATTACGTGGCGTGCTGACATGTTTAAATTTTGCCACATAGACATGTCAAATGTCGAATTTCTATGCATCCGAGTCTCCTTTATTATATTAAAGGATAAAGATTTACTTTATTCCTACTAATCTATCCCTTCTTGAAATAAATTTGTTTGTTTTGATTTTTTATAATATGAGTTCCTTGTTTAAATACTACGTATCAAAATATATTATTAAATTTTAATATTTTCCAATAATGAAGTAAAATATAAAAGTTTTTAAACGCGATTATGCTTAGAAATATGTGTTTAACAAATACGAAATTCAATTTCCATAAAATAAGTGTTTTTGTTAACTAATTCTTTAAATATTACTTGCTGACATGGCATGTTGACATGTCAAAAAAGTTGTCTAATAAGCGTTCCACATGTCACAATCCTAGACGCCTAACTCTCAAATTGTATGTATAAAGATTTACTTTAGTCCTACTAATCTATCCCTTCTTGTAATAAATTTGTTTGTTTTGATTTTTTTAAATATGAGTTCCTTGTTTAAATACTCTGTATCAAAATATACTAGTATCACACCCGTGCGTTGCACGGGTCATTTTTATGTTATTAAATTCAAATTATTTTTCAATGATAAAAATGAGATGCAATAAAATATAGAGATTATATTATTTTAAGGTTAAAAACATCATTGTTTTACAAAATTCGAAAGACTTCTTTATAGACTACATTATTGTACAATTTGTGGGGATATTTATAGTATATTTAATTGTAATAGGCTATAGGCTATTATAATTATAATTATAATAAGAAGGGTTAACTTTTTTCGAAATTGGGTGTAATTATTCTTACCATAATTATTTTTTTCGAAACTGGGTGTATAATTGTATAACTTACCTTTTTAAATTATTTCCAATTTTCAAAAACTTACTCTTTGCATTTGTATTACTTACCTATATTAAAAACATACGCTTTGGATTTGTATAACTTACATTTTTTAATATGGTAATTATTATAAATATAATATTTTATTAACTTCCGATGGCTTACCATTTTATATTACTCACGTTAATTATTATAAAAATAATTATATTAACTTCCGATGGTTAAAATGATAGTTACTTATTTTTACCATAAT